CACACACACACACACACACACACACACACACACACAGCCATCAAAGCTCCACTACCTCCCCTCCACAGGCGCTGAGGAGTGTAGCTGCTATGCGATTGATGGCGCTGTCTCACTGCTCTTTCCCGGACTGAGTGCAGTGATCCAGCTGGTGTGCGCCTGCAGAAAATAAGCCTGCGCTGCATGCAGCTTGACAACTTGTCAACTTGCACCTCTACCGCTCCTGTCTTCATCTAGCGTGCGGTAGCGCTAAGCGTGCGTAATTGCGCATTTGGCACAAATCAGACAGAGAGAAACGCGCCCTTGTTTCTGTATGAACGCCCCGTAAAAGATCCCCTGAGTTGAGCGCAAAGTTTTAAAGAGTCATTTCGACCTCATGTAGAAAACAAATCGACGAGTCTACGTTTTCTAATTTTACTCACCAGACCAGCTGGGCGATCGCCGGCGGTCGCTCCAAAAACTTCCCCCTTCACATAGATCTTGGTGATTGTTGGTAAATGCGGTTTGCACGCATCTCCAAGATCCGCGTGGCTTCCGTTTGAGTCAGTGTGTCACTTTGCTCCTCTCCAAACTCTCACAGTTCCAGAGCGTTTTGTGCTGCGATCATCCGCCCGAGAGCCATCACGCGTGGGGGCTGCGGTTCGCCTCGCTCCTCTCCTCCACTCCACAGCGGCTCAGGTGGAGGTGCATACTGTCGCTGCCTTCAGGTGATATCAGAAATATCGCAGTCCTCACAGGAGCGCACACCATGAAGTTAAAAATATTGGAGAAACGGCTAAGTCGTGATTTACCAGGCTACAGCTCTGCCGTTCCGAGAAGTGCTACTGAGGGGGCGGAGTGAGAGGAAGTCACATAAACATCTGATGGAGAAAGTGATGTCTTCTGAAATTCAGCTTGTAGCCTTTATGTTTGGTTTATGGATTTCTGCTTTTACAATTATCAGAACCTCGCATAATCTAAGGCATCAATTAAAACTAGAATTTTAACCATGGGATATCCTCAAGTCCTAGTTTAATGCATGCATTTTTTAAATGAGCAACAGCCATTAAAACATTTAATTGCAGGGTCAAAAATATAGTATCTACATAAAAAAGCACATGAAATTCATCCAAAAAAGCCACATGTTTGAAAGTAGGAGCATGTCAGATGTCCTTGAAGACACACACACACACACACACTCACACACACTCACACACACACACACACACACAGGATCTGACACCCTCAGTCTGAGAGGAGGCTCTGACGCCATGGATTCTTCTCTCATTCCCTGCATGCTGAGCTCAGTGTGTTTCCGGCAGTGTGGCTGTGTTTATTTTGCTCTAAATACAACCAACACACAACATTCTTTCCCCAGGTAATCTTCTCAACTCATGAGGATATGATCTATGCTCCTGCACCACCACCTAGTTTCAATAGTGATCATAATGGCTAAATGTCCTTGAACACCAGAGAAGCAAATGTCTTCATTCATTCAGCTCCATACGAACATGTGGTTAACAACTAAACTTGACACCGCGCTGTGAAGTGGCTGCCAAAAAATGCCACAGCAGAGAGGGCTGCCGAAGTCAGGAGTCCAGCGTGAGAATTTCTGCCTAATGTCCATTCAGCACCGGCTCATTAAAGTCACATTTGCCCACAGGCTGTGTAAACGAATGAGACCTATGGGCTTGGTGTGTGTGCCTGTGTGTGTGTGTGAGTGTGTGTGGATATGCATGTACTATGTGTATGTGTGCAGAAGGGAAGGAGGGAGGGCGAGAAAGATTGAGCTTGTGTGTCAGAGAGCAAGTGAGTAGTGTTTCATCTCTCTGTCCTCTCCTGGTCTCTCCTCTGTCTTGCTCTCAGTTTTGTCTTAGACAGTGTTCGGTAAGTGGAACAGCTTTTTTTTTTCTTTGTGCTCTCTCGTAGCTTCTCCTCTGATCTGCCTGTAAAGTTTTAATTGAATTCAGGTCAGGTGAAGCCCAGGGCTGGTTCCACCGCTTTGATCTCACCAAGTGTTTGCAGTCCTGGCTGCTGGGGGTCAGGTCCTTGTGTGTTATAGACCTGATGGATGTATAGCGTTTGCATAGGCGAGCCCATCCAGCCCCTTAGTAACAAGCTAAATCAACTGCATGGAGAGAATTAAAATACAAACTTGAGATCAGGAGGCTTTAAATTGCAGTGTTGGATAGCAAATCACAGCTGAAATCGGAATTATATCAATTTTTATTGCACATAATATTTGCAAACCATAGACTGTATAAGATAGAGGTTACGTCTGTCAGGGCCTTTCTGTATAGAATTTGCTTGCCCCCCTGTGCCCGTGTGGGTTATCTGCAGGTAGACTTCTCCAACGTCATCCCACAGTCCAAAGACATGCAGGTTAGGTTAATTGGAGACACTTAATTGCCTGTAGGTGTTAATATTTAGCGAAGTAGCTGTTTTCAGACATGCACTGAACTCCAGAGAACCTCCAGACATTCTCAGGAGGATTCAACGCGAGTTGATGACGATTCGAACACGACAGACAAAACTGAAAAGAATTAAAAGAGTACAAACATGTAAGGATTACAAAGCGGTACAGCACAGGTAGATAATCTCAGCTACTAATCTCCTGGTGCGTTGTTCATGTGTGAAAGAGAGAGTCCAGGCCAAATTCTACGGACATCCTTTGAAGGTCATGTCTAAATGTTACCTTGGCCCTGTGATAGATTTGCAACGTGTCCACTGTGAACCCAGCTGCCCGATATCAGTTGGGATTGGCTCCAGTCCCCTCAAAGGAAGTATAGCTAATGGAATGTAACATGTAATGATTAATTGATTACATTTTTCAAGTAACTAGCCGAACTCTGCTGAGGAGGAACATTTTCACGCAGGAGACCTGTGGTTGGAGACTCATTTTCTTTTTTTATGTCACTGACTGCATGCAGTGTGATAGCTGGATGATTGACCCATCAGTCTCTGCATCATGTGCCGCACTGGCGTGTAATAGAACCAGAAAAATTCAGTGTTCAAGTCTAGATGCCTGCTTTTGATAGAGTGGTGGATATTTTCTCCCATGTCCCACACTGCAGGCTCAATTTCCTCTTAAAAATCATACTAATTCGCTACAGATTGTCCTCCTGTTGTTGAGAGATGTTCGTAACAGGCATGGAGCAGCATGCTGAGTGAGATACTTCCCTTTTTCTCCATGACTAATGTCTTAAGCTGTATCTTCCCCCTGCAACCTGAAACTGGATAGAGATCTGGAAAAGATACAGATGATTTGTGGTGCGCCTGCAGCAATAGAGCACCCAGGTATCTGTTTCTCCCATGCACCACCCAATCAGTGTAGAATCTGATTCCCAAGGCAGAGCTTAACTGTAGAGAAGATTAGAATAATTCAATATCTACCCCGCTGAAGTGTCCTCAAGTAAAGACACTGACCCTCTCTGAGCTGGTGTCATAGGATGTGCCTTTGTGCCAAAAGTGAATACATTATTGCAGAATAACATGCGACACAATAAATCAGAGAGTTTGGGGCTTTATTCTTTTGTTGACAATGTAACTGACACTATTTTGGAAGGGGGGGTTTCTTTTTTGGGAAAATAACATATGAAATCTACGGGAAATGATAA